ACACAAATACTAAATTTCCATGATTTTCTAAACTTGAAAACAAAATTCCATGTTATCTCAGGTCTGGAAATTACAACTTCAATTTCCACAATTTTCTGTGATTCTCCAGGACCCGTACAAACCCTGTGGAAATGTATTAATATTATCATGGAATGTGGAAAAAAAAAAAATTGACCAAAAAACAGTTATCTCTATCATAAATATCCTCATTTTTTATTATTTCTTTTAACAAATGATAGAGCTCTTTATACTAAATTTGCACTCACTATTTTCATATGAAATGAGGTATGTTAACAGATCTTTGGTGACTAAAAACCTGAACATCTATAAACCAATATTTAAGCAGACTGAACTTGGAAATGCATTACAAAAAGAAAAAATAGAAGTTATGAATTTCTAATTCTGATACACAGGTGAGCCACATCTCAAAATAAAATAATTCATTATGACCCCTTAATGGGTCACATTGCATAAAATGTAATAAATTAAAATGTGTGACCATTACCTTCATCATTTTAATACACATGACTGTCAATAAGAAATTTAAATTGCTCTTAATTGTCTTCCATTTCCTCGTTACCTCTCTTCTGGTCCCTAATGGTTGCCTAGTATCAAAGGGGGTAATTCTTTGCAATATGGATGCACTCGTGAGTAAGTCCAAACTCTATGTCACAAAACTGAATCAACAGTATAAATTGCCATGACTAGGCATACTGCTTGAGGGGAGAATTGATGGGCAGACATTGTTTTCACCAATAAATGCTTCGGCTATTAACAGCACTTTCTGCAACATTTTCCTTTATTTGTGGCATTACTGCTTGTGTCTGTAGATGTTTCTTGTATGGATGGCTGAAATTTTTTTCCTAGGTTAGTGCAACCATAGCATAAATATCAGCCAATGACAAATCATCAGGGAACTCAACAAGCTAGTTTGCCCAATATACATGGTGGAATTTTGTTTGCCTTTGCTGAATGCAAAGCTTGGAGGCCACAGCATTACTTTACTTTACAGCAGAATTTAAAAAGCACTTGCATAAGACACTATAGTGACTGATTCTATGACTATTATTCATATTTTACCCCACAATTTCCCTGGTACCTTCCATACCCTCCCTTGTAATCAGGGCCAAGATTGTTGTTATCAGGGGAGGTTTCTGCCGCCTAATTTCATGAAAATGACAAGAACAACTAAAAAGCCAGTTGGTTAGGTTAGGTCAGGTTCATACTTATCACAAACAAGGAGGCGATGGTCTCAACACGAGAAGATGATACCACTCTCAATTGAAGGTTAGGTTGGTTAGGTTTGTGCTTATTACCTGGAAATAACATTTATATAGGCATATTTTCAAATAAGCCATAGGTCTAATCGTGAGAAATCGGATATGGTTGGCATATGCATAACAATGGTCCAATTTCAATAAATTTGGAAAGAAAAGAGTGAGAAGAATCCATCAATACCAAGAGTGTCAATGTGCTGCCGAGCAACAAACCTAGTGGCAGACATACAGTTATTAAGACATGGCAAAGATAATATATTAAATATTTAAGTAATAATGTACTGACCAATTTCATATGATGATTTGTTTTATCAATTCTGAAGAAAATAAACCAAAAACACACTCAGCAACCTGATAGCATTTCTGATTTCTCAAAGACATAGAAGTAAAACAAACACTGATAAGGAGCTTAGGAGGCTGTGACGTGTAGCTCAGCTGACATCTGCATCAAGTTATGTGACATTTACAAGTAAAACTGGGACCTCTTGGAGCCATGGGAAGTGTCCAGAGGTAAATCTCTCAGCTGCGTACGTGTGCACATAGCAGCATATGCCATTTATGTACACCGGAGGCAGCTGCGCCTGGGTACACCAAGCCCAAGGACACAACTTTGCAATTTGCTTTTAGATAATAAAAAATAGACTTGAATTGTGTACAGCGATGTGCAACGTTACCTTAAGATAATCTATATGCCTTACAGACATATCGATGTGTAAACAAAAACGAGAGGAAAGCCAGCAGATGTTTCTTTCGTATGACTTCGCTTTCAAATCTTTTTCTTGTAGCTCGTTTTAACGCATTTCGGTTTGTTTTGGTTAGATGGGCCCGGTTTCCCTTCACTGTAAATAATGTTATCTCTGATTATATTACAGAATTAATAATTAATACGGAATAATGATAACAAAAATGTGGCAAATGATATAAATAAACACCTCCGTTTTTTTTAAGAACAGGGACCAAACGTACGTGCACACCAGACTATAGAGTATTTTTCTTGCGCGGGGAATATTACATTTTTCATGCGCGGAAAACATCATTTTGTCTACATTTGCGCGGACGGATCTGCGGACGGATGATGAAACAAGTGCGCGGAAAGGTCAAAAGAATTTTATGATTTTATGATTTAATTAGTCTGGCGTGCACAACACGCGCGCGCGCGCGCACATCATCTTTCCGTCAGGATCTGCCATATTTAGCCAGTATCTGCCAATTCAAGTAATGCGCCGTTGCTTTGCGGTTCTGCTGAGGTGTTCTCTCCAGCGCGCAGGCCTTGGCAGGGGTCATGCGGTTCACTAGTAGTTCCCGTGCTGCAGGCCCCCCTCTGCATATCAGTGGCGCAGACAAGAAAGAGTAAGAGCCCATGTAGCTTAGCATTTGTACTGTCATAGGATATGTCAGATCGAAGTTGAAGTTGAGGTGGTACTGAAGGGGAATTAAGATATAATATATATATATATATATATATATATAATATATATATAATATATATATATATTTATATATATATAATATAATGTATATATAATATATATATATATATATATATATATATATATATATTATAATATAATATATACACACACACACACACACACACACACACACACACACGTATATATATATAGTGTGTGTGTGTGTGTGTGTGTGTAGTATGTATATATATATATATATATATATATATATATATATTATATATATATATATATAAATAGGTAAATAGAGATCCGGAGAGAGATACTGACACTTCCGGATCTATATCTTCGGGTCGTATGCTTTTTTTCTGTACAACCAACGTATATATCAATTTTCCAATGACCGAAGACTGTTAGCATTATGAATTCTGAAGATAGAGGATTTATCATTGCATTTTTTCTTTTGAATTGTAGCTCCACTCAATAAAAGTGGATGTATTGGTCAAAGATAATCGAATAAACCACCTAGATATGATGGTAGTCTATTTTGAGTTGATTTGTGACATACCGTATTTCTCACCATTTAGTTATTTCCGAAACTACATATTTTTTCATGTGCATCATTCTTACTAGCAGGTGAATTTTCAGATACTTCATATTATAAATTTATCCTCTTTGAGAGTTATCCTCCAAGACTGGTAACTGCATTATTGATTAATTATAGATCTAATACTGATAGTTAATCAAAAATACCTTTGTGGTGTAAATACTACACAAAAGTAACATATACAACGGCAATAAGGATTGTAATTAACATTTTAATCGTGATTAATCAGTAGCAATGTATCTGTTTTCATATCAGCAATGCTAACGTTTTGATTATATGAGAATAAAACAAAAACAACAATCTAATGCTTTTGTTTTTCAGTCTTGTACGATATTATGATAATATGATAAAGTGATATTGCGAGAATATCTGTCCTGGAAGTTTATAAGATATATAAATTAATTAATAAATATTGTAAGCATAGCCAGTAGAGGCAATTTGTGTGTGTGCGTGTGTGTGAGTGTGTGTGTTTCAGTGGAATTTTAATATTCTGAGTCTCTAAGGCAGTGGTTCCAACCTTTTCATTTTGTGACCAATAAATAATAATTCCCTTGGCCCCATTCAGCGGGTGTCATCTCTTCAGATTCAGTTATTGCTAGTTATGAACAATGTAATGGTGTCAATGGTGAACAATGTAATGCTATGGGAATTGGACATTTTATTGAAAGATTACAATCTATATGCGAGAGATAATCATATGTAGGTATTGTAGGTGAGATGAAATTGATTTTAATTCAACGTCAGAATTTTCATATTCCTCCATGGTACCCCATGGCCCCCCCCAGGTTGGGTACCTCTGCTCTAAGAGGAATTAACGTATTTGGATGCACGTTTAAATTAAATTTACTCAGTATCTGATTAATTCATACAGAAAAAAGAGTAAAAAGAAGAAAAATGAGAAAAAAGTCATAAAATCATAGACGTTACTGTTGTCACTATTATTATTGTTATTTTATTATTACTATTATCAAAATATTCATCCTCATTACAATAATAATTGTAATGAATATATTGATTTACATAATAATAATATTGATGGATACCTTGATGATATTTCAAACAGTAGTTAAACTGACATAAATTACGTGGCATATAATGGTAATGGAACGCAAATGTTGTGATAAGGGTATGGCTTTTATTGCAATTATAGTGATCACCGTTAGCTTTTATTTCATAAAGTTTTGTGCTCTTTAGTTCTTATACACTTAACTTTATAACGCTCATGAATATGATAGATGCCGGCTGAGAAGATAGTTACTCTAGATAAAACTGTGTTCAAACTTTATTGGTATAATATTTATACACACACGCACACACACACACACAACACACACACACACACACACACACACACACACACACATATATATAATATATAATATATATATATATATATATATTTATATATTATATATCTTTATATATATATATAATATATATATATATATATATATATATATTATAATCTATATATAATATATATATATTTATATATATATATATATTTTATATATACATACATTATTATCTTTAATATATATACATACATACATATATATTAATATATATAATTATATATATATATATAATATATATATATAATATATATATATAATCACTACAATGTACAGGCGCTCACACAATACGTTAACTATTTACTTGTCAAAAGGTCATCTGTCATTAACATTTAAACTTAAAGGCAAA